AGGACAGTATTCTGATTTTTATATAGTCTGAGTGTTTTGATTTGATGTGCCATAATGGCTAGAAAAGGTAATTAATGCTGCTGCTTTCCGTCCATAAGCTACTAACCAATAACTAAGGAAAGGCTTAACAGAGAAGAGGCAAATATATGTGATGAAGGGCTGTTGAATTAACCAAAGAGAGTGGCATACCAATTATATTACAACGCAATTGCTGGGTCCTGCACTGGTAGATGAACCTTTGAGACTTTTTAACAGGGATGGAACATTGAATAGTATTTATAATATGACAACAAATCGTGCAGCACATCACAGACACCAGCTCTAGCTCCTTCTTATAAAAGGAAATTTTACTTTTTCTTTGTGAAAAAGATCCAGCATCCTTTTGAAGTGCTTTCATTACATATCACAGCTGAGGTGTTCCCAAGAATTGCACAAATTCTAGCAAGATTTGCAAGGTAGAAGAATGTGCAGCAGCGCAGTAGGAACAAATAGCAAGTGACAGTCTCCTTGATCACAGATCCAAGCTTCTTTCCAGGCAGCATTGCCAAAAAAGGGTTCATTCTTGGCCTTTCTCCTAGGGCCATAAAAAAGCTCCTTTCTTGGAGGAGGAACTTGACTTTTCTAGTTATTTTCCTGATAATTGACTGTATCACACTTTCCTTTCCTACGCAGCCACCAACTAGCGCAGAAAGGAGCACTTCATTATTCCTCTATTTAGGAGACGGACACACCAGCCCAAGCAACTGAACTCAGTAGCTCACTACTGAACTGCAATAAAAAGGACCAGCTATTTCATATTAGAGCTCCCTGCTTATGAATTAGGAGTTAAAGCTTAAGTCAGCTGCACAGCCACAGACTAGGGACTCAGGACATTTTACTATCTTTCATAATATGAGTTGTAGTGGTGGTAGTAGCTGTAGTAGAAGTAATAATACCGGTGTTGGGATAATCCTGTGAGTCCTGGGTTTGACTGTACTGCATATTCTACAAACACACAGCAGGGCCAGAGACTGCCTCAGATACCTGGCAGCAAAACATATTTGACTTAAGCAGGAGACAAAACTCCTAGACATATTTTTTATGTCTCAAAGTTTACAACCAGTCCGTTATCAAGCATGGGAATAATGGAAGATTTGCTTCTGTATCATCTTGCAGTTTCATTTTACTTCTTTAGGTAAAAACAAACACTTCATAAAACTTACTAGTTTTTTGCAGTTTTCCCAGCTCAGACTAACTTACATGGAGACATGCTGTAACATTTGTCATGTTTCACTTGTACTATGAATGAATTCCGGTTAGGACCTCTGCAAGCTAATTTTCTTCATCAGTAGCAGGTTCTTTTCTTTTGCATACTCTTACCTAAGGAAAACAATCTATTTTGATTGTAGGAAAATGTTTCCACTACACCACTTAGCGACAGATGAAAACATGCTGCATTTTAGCTCATCCTAAGCAAGGACTGCTTTTCACTATAGTTTGATTAATATATAATTCATCCTGATGCATTGTGGTGCTTAAACTATTCATGCTAACTTTTTCACGTTCATTCTCAAATTAATGTGATGTGGATTCAAGTACTAATCACATCCATCCTTCATGCCTTGCCAATGGTATTCTTTAACTTACTGCATAGCAGGTGATTGCATTCCTCAGAGCAGTCATGAACCTTCTGCATGGCCATTACTTTAAAAGATAGATATATCATTTTATTTTAAAAGCCACAAATGATAGTTCATAGTGGAAGGCACAGGAAAGAAAGAAATGTTGAGGAATGAAGTCTTACATATAGTTCTTCAAGAAACAAAGATAGTTCATGTTCAGAAAATGTACTTCCTATGTATGTATTTGTTTGAACGACAGATAAAAATTCAGCAAGGACTCATTTTGTTCAAATTACATGTTCGGTAAGTCTCTGTTCAGAGCATTGATGAACACCACAAACAGCCAGCAAAGAAAGGCAAGAATATTCCATATTCATCTCCTTTTCCCCTGAGAAATATGAAATAGTGAAAGCATTAAGTCAAAATAAAATTTGAGAATATAATGTAGATTTTATTGCAGAATCCACCAGTGCAGTTCTCCCCACCTCGGGTTGTCCGGGGCTGCAGTGTGCACTGTTTCCAAAGCCCACGTAGCTGCATGGAAAGCTGGGGCAACTCAGACACTTGAAGAAAGCAGGATCGGCCCATCTGCAGCTCGTGGACACCCTGAGTTGTTCCCATGGGAATAGCTACTCTCTCAGACCGTCACTGTCATGCCCCACAGTTGTCAGGGGAAAGGATAGCTGGAGCCCTCAGGCTGACTTCCTGACCTGCGACTTCTGCTCTAACATCCTCACGGAAGAGTGTTCGACTGGCCCAGGCCGAACCTGAGATGTGATTGATTTTATTAAAGCTGTCTGGAAAACTACTGTGTTTACCCAGAAAGTTAACTGATTTTTTACACACTGACATCAACTGGCTTCTGTCAGGGAGAGTGCCACCCAAATTAAGTTCAGCCTTTGCGAAGCACTGTGTATCTGTTGGTCAAGGCAGCTCTTGAGAGGATGGGTGATCGATAAGGAGAGAATGAAGAAAGGCTGGCCACCAGCTGGGAGCCTACCCTGAGCACACAAGGCAAGAATCATATTGACCCAGACCTGTGAAAAACAGCCCTAGGATGATTTAAGAGTCTTAATGAACACATTTGCCAACAGAGAAAGGAGCAAATATTTATTCTTTTTCTTCCCTTTTTTTTTAATCTTTTCAGACCACTTATAGGCAACCCTTTTTTCTGCATACATTTCAGACACACTGTGGAAAAAAATGTGACCATCCACTCTGCCCTGTATGGTGAGTGGAAAAAAACAAATGATAAAAATCAATCCTTCATGTTAATCCTGTCAGTCCTAAATATTCATGAGCACCAAAATGCACTTTAAATACCAAAACAGAAGTAAATGTATGTCTTCTGGTCATTGTGGTTGGAACGGTTATTAGCAAAAAGAGACGGTTCATTGAATGGCTATGAAATAAGCTTTTCTGGTCCAGAGCAACAGCCTGAGTCCTCCACACAGGTGCAGGATGGGCAGCGCTCTACTTGCTCAACAGATGAAATGTCCCTTTAAAGAGACAAGTAAATCCTAAAATTGTCCCTTCAGTCCAAGTAGTCAATTTGGAATTGAAAGGGAAGGAGTATGTTCCTGTGGCCACAGATGACAGCTCTTACTCCACCGTCACTGCTGTGACCAGATTTCTGATAAGCACATGGTTTCCCCCAAGGAAACCCTTGGCAAGACCAGCAGTGCCTCCCTGCTGTGCTGAGCCTCTGGGGTGCTGGGAGAAGGACACCCACGTGTACGGTATCCATAGTCCTGGCTGCAAAGTGTATCATCAGTGAGCCACTGGGCCTGCCTTGCCTGCTCCGAGGAGGCAGGTGGACATCATCTGAGGAGAAATGATGTTGTCCCACACCAGCTGGCTCTCTTGGAGAAAAGCAGGTAACGGGCACAACACATTTTCCTCCACAATCTGCCCACTTCTCAGTAAGTCAAAGCCACAATCGCTCATCACGGTGTATGTCTGCAACCTCACCTGCAATGCAGGCAAGAACCATTTCCCAGCTCTTGGGTTCACATAGGAACTTAGTCACGTGTGAACTTCATCACGACTTTGTGTCAGAGCAGGCATCCCAGTACAAGAGAGACATGGCACTGCTGGAGAGAGTCCAGCGGAGGGCTACCAAGATGATTAGAGGGCTGGAGCATCTCTCCTATGAAGAAAGATTGCAAGAGCTGGGCCTGTTCAGCCTGGAGAAGAGAAGATTGAGAGGGGATCTCATCAACGTGTACAAGTATCTGAAGGGGGAGTGTCAAGAGGATGAGGCCAGCCTCTTCTCTGTGGTGCCCAGCAACAGGACAAGAGGCAATGGGCAGAAACTGAACCACAGGAAGTTCCATCTGAACCTGAGAAAAAACTTCTTCACAGTGAGGGTGACAGAGCATTGGAACAGGTTGCCCAGAGAGGTGGTGGAGTCTCCTTCGCTGGAGATATTCAAAAGCCGTCTGGATGTGATCCTGGGCAATATGCTCTAGGTGACCCTGCTTGAACAGGGAGGGTGGACTAGATGATCTCCAGAGGTCCCTTCCAACCTAAACGATTCTGATCCCCATCCCATGCCCTCTGGTTTCCATGGGAAAGAAACCCAAGAATGAGCCCAAATGGAGTAACGGCACATCCCAGGAGTGTCTCCAGGGTGTATGTTTAGCAGACCGGCAAGGCAAGGCCATTCCTGGAGAGCACTGTGTTCAGAGATGGCAAATGAGGTTCAGCTCCTGCACAGTGATTGCAAAGCCAAGAAGAACCTTTTCAAAATATGTCACCAAAGCTGGACCCAACTTGGCTATTTTTACCTCACTGACTCCATTTATTTTCATGTGTCTTATTGCTATGTGAACAAAATAAAGTAAAGCTGTATTCTTGCAAAGAGGCCAAGCCAGTATCCCTGATCCCTTACCAAAAAAATCTCTGCTGCCAGCAGCACTTCTCCTTCTCTAAGGAGCAAGCTCTGAGCTGGCTGCAGTTTAAAGAGTGAATGACTCTGACTCAGATGGGAGAGCAGAGCAAACCTTAGAAAACTATAATTAAAAGTAAATGAAAACATCTAGACTGGAGTTCTGAGTTACTCTCTTTTTTGCAGCCTTTCTTGCACTTGAAGAACAAATTCCTTGCTTCATTTCTAAAATCTATCAAATTGTCAATTTTTAAAGTGGATTTTTTTTACATAGTACTTTTTAGAGCGCTGTTATATATTTTTTAAGTAATTTGTGAGGTTTGTTTGTTCCATTAATCTCATTTATTAAAGTTTAAAATCTCCGTCACTGATATGTGCTGAACAAACCCAGCAAGAGCTGGGAACTTTTATTTCACTTTATTTTTTTACAGCCTAGCATTAGCATGTGTCTGCCTGCTTAGATGAAAAATTCATGTCAAGTGCATAACACTGTCTCGTGTGTCTAACAGGTAAGCTGCAAAGTGCTGCAATTCTTTCACCAGTACATGTTGGGTTGCAACTACTTCTGGATGCTCTGCGAAGGCATTTATCTTCACACTTTAATTGTGGTGGCCGTATTTGCTGAAGAGCAGCGTTTGCACTGGTATTACCTTTTGGGCTGGGGTACGTATGTTATAATTTGTAGCAATTTGGTCATTTCTTTCCAGCATTTGAATTCTTCTAGCATTTACACTCCTAAATTGTTGTATTTATACTACTAGATCATAGCCTAAGGTTGAGTTATTTGAGTCCTAGATTTGACTGCATTCATTTGGATAGGACCAGAAACTCATAAAAATCAGCAGGAGTTAGTATCCATTATTTGCTAGATCTTGGGATTTGCTGAAAGAAATATTTAAGTTTGCTGAAGCAAAACTTCAGGAGAGAAATAGATTTCTATCCAAAAACATCTTTCATCTGAACAAAACTTTTCTATTTTTGTCATGTTATTTGCAAAAATACTGATCCATCACAGTACCTATAAAAGTGTATTTATTCTGGAATGAAGAGGAGGAAAATCAGTATCTATGCCTCCCAAAGTGAAAAAACACAGCACACAAAAAGAGGAACCAGAGCCCTTCTGGAACTCTATCAAATATACTTTAGCAGATATTATTTTAAAGAAGAAGATACCATTCTACCTACACAGGAGTAACTCTGCTCTGCTGTGGCTCTAAGGGCTGAGCTTGTCTAACAACAGTGATCTCTAAAGCATTGCAGTGAAACATATAGGTGTCAGTGATGCAAATCTCAATAATATTCCTTGAGAGAAGTTACAAACACATGCACTATGAATACAAACGCTATATACTCCCAATGCATACTACCCTTGACTCAGTCTGGGCCTTTATTTCCAAATATGCAGGTCTCTACTCTTTCCACTAAGGGAGACTTTGCCTTTTAAGTAGTAGTAGCAACAACAGATATTTAACCTTTGGATTATCTGGCCCGATAGAAAGCCAACCAAATAAATACAACCAATATACTATAGTGAGGTGCAGACCCTTTCACATTTAAGTCACCATTGGAAATCCAATCCGCATCAGTGTTAACAGAAAGTCATTACTAACCGTAGCTTTTTTCCAGTTAGACATCATGACATGAGTTTCCGGCCTCATTCCAGTTCCTGGTGAGCCCATCCCAACATCTTAAAACCTACTGATGCAGCGAAGCAGCAAGTGGTGGCTCTTTATCTCTTGTCCATTGCACTTAGGGGCGTTCACTTGCATTTATCTGAAACTTAGCTCCTTTATTATGAGAATACCATCTTGATTTTTTGTATGAGAATAGCATCTTTCCTGAAAAGAGAGGGACCTGCCATGCTCCTAGAATTAAAAGTGTTTCATAAGCTCTTAGATGAAGAAAACCTTGCTAAGGAATCCTAAATTGAGCTCTGGGGTTCCTCTGTCAATCCAAATAGCTGAGTCCTCTCTGGGGCAAGAAACTGTGGAATCCCAGTTTCCATAGTTGAATACGCAGAGTGCGATCAGGCCCTCCTTTTGAAATGGAAGCTCTACCTTAAGGGTCATTTTGAATATTTCTTTCTGGGTAAAACTTTTGCCATTTTCATGTCTCCTAGCATAAGCCATTCTGAATTTGTGGCATCCCCTATGCAATTATCTTGGGAAAAATGGTCATAAACATGGATCTTTCAGACAACATTCAATTTAGGCCGTGCAGTCGAATGCAACTGGTACAGCTAGCCTGCAGTGAAAACTTATGAGGTAGCCGTATTATTGCTGAGAAGAGCACTAGCATTATGGTAGATAATTCAGTGAAGATGTCTGATGAGATCCTGATCAGTATCTGCAGCACTACCTAAAAAGTAAATAGGGTAGTGGCTGTGGGAAGAAGCTGACGATATCTTGGCAGGGAAAAGGTTAATAAAAATGGACACAAATCTTTGACTAAGACATCTGCAGCCTGATTAACGGATACCTTCAACAAAAAAAGTAGTCATTAACACCTTCTGAGGTAGAAATCATTATTAGCAATATGATCTAACTAGGACTGTCTGGCTATCTCTTCAGTTAGGATAAATTAGTGTAATTCCACTGATTCCAGAAGTGGAAGTCACATGGTCTAACTTTAGACAACTGGCTGTATTAATCAGTGGAGAGAGATGTATTTCTCCAAAGGGCAACTCAGAGTACCCGGAGCAGGCTGTGCTCTGAATTACTATTGAAAGGGTCAAGGTAAATGTACAACACAACACGAATATAATCATTATTCATTTTTATGGCTAATCCCGCTGCAAGAATACCTGGATTATTTTATTTGGAAAAATCACTAATAGCATTTTAAAAATAGCTTTATAATAAAAATAACAATGTAAGCAAAATATCAAACACTTCCCCAGAAGATTCAGATGGTTGAATATAAACTGACATGGATGAACAGATGTACTTCAAGCCTGATATCTTCAGGTGACACCTTCTCTGGCAACTGCTGCTAGGGATGTCCTTTTCCAATAGTTATTGTTTCCATGGCTTAAACAATCCCCCTCATGTGGGGCAATAAAATAGTATCAAATGTTTGCATCCAGTTACGGTCCATGCAGTCCAGCTGCTTCAAGCAGTTGCATCCACATATAATTCAAAAGGGAATCATTTATTGGGACAGTGCTGAAAGAAGAGTGTCCTCCAGAGGAAATGCAGTTAAGCATAATTGCCAGTTTGTGCCCTAGAGGATCTGACATGACCTAAAGGGCTATGTCTTACCTGTTCCTTTGATGGCTAGGGTGAAACCTTTTCTGCATGGCTTGTGCCCCCACTGTGCAGGTGGGACGACTGGTGTGTTATATGTTATGCCTGAAGGTGTGTGCTGCCTCTTTAGTGAGCAGTGCGGCTGCAACATCTGCTTTGTTTCCAAGGATTGTACAGCTTGTCCCTCTCCTCCAGGCAGTATCTAAATCACCCTGCTCTGGAAAAGGTGGAGCTGAGCCATGAACTCCCTTCTTCACAACCCTTTTCTGGGAGTTTTGCCCCAGGAGGCAACTGAGACCCAGGAGGCCTTTTTGGTGCTCTACTTCTCATTGCTGCCACCTTTTGGTCCTTCGCAAGGGAAGATCAACATCCAGCCACACAGACTGGCACACTGCTGGAAATCTGAGCTCTAGACAGTCATGAGCTTCTTGCCCTGTAACTGACTAATGAAAACTTTCCGTCGCGTTTTTAGGATATGCATGTGAATCTGTTGAGCCAAACAGTCTAGGCTAATGCATTTAACAGAAGAAAAAAAAATCCCTTCATCATGTGGAGCATTCTACTTCAATGCTACAGGCCAGGGCTTTCAGATGAAAACATTTTGCTTTTACAGAATGGCTCCTTAAAAATAACATTTCCATCTATGTTATCTGTCAACAAAACTGGCTCAGACTTGCCCCATTTCCAAATCAAAAGGATTTTCTCAAGCTGTCAGTCCCATAAGCTCCCCCCGAGACTGGAAGCTCCTTCCTTTCTGCTGTAAGCTTTTTGTTTTTCTGCCATGCATCATCACCCTAAAAAGGCATTCTGCAGCCAGAAGCCAAGAACTCATTTTACCAACAATATATAAGGGATAAAGCAATCTGTGTACTCTCCCACAGCTGCATTGTCATTCCAAGGTAAATTATAGAAAGAACTTCTTTTGGCATCGGAGTAAGAAGCTATTGCATAACGATACCTGGCGACAGAAGTGCTCTATTTACATACTTTCATGACCTTATTCTCACTCTAGCATTAGCTGGCCTGTGCTCTGAGGTAAGAATTCCTGAGAATTTGGCTAAGAATTCTCTGTCTCTTCTAAAAGTATTTATGAAATCGCCACCACCCAAGAAAATAGGGAGCCACATTCCTCCCTCTATGACTAATCACAGGATCATCAGGACAGTTTCACACATTTTTATTTATAGCTCTAAAATATCCACAGTTCAGATCAAACATGCATGGTTTATAGGGAACAGACAGCAGCTACACCAAATGCATCCACAGAGTACTCTGCAAAGGGCAGACTAGGCAGTATAGCATCTACCCGCTGGCCAGCTCTTAGTACATACAGGGTTGTACAGATTGGTGTATTTTAGGACAGACACCTTTATTCCAGATTTCTAGCCTATTGAAAAGGGAGACAATGCACAAGCAAGCAGAAAGAAGAGGGGCAGAAGTGGGCCTGACTGCCATTCTTAATGTCAGGGTGGAAGAACAGCATGGCAGAAGCAACTCAAGGTTTGGAGGGGCCAGGCTCCTAGGGTCGATTTAATCAAGGACTTCAGGCTGTTCCTCCAGACGCTGTTATTGCCTCCCATGCTGGAAGGGGTACAGGATGGCATGTGCCCAAGTCTTTGGCCCAGGGCTGCCTACAGCCCTGCGTCAGGACATGGACCTCCCACTGCGTGCCGGGTGGGACTCATAGCCACGGCAGGAGACGTCGTGGCAGAGCACCCGCAGCTCCCCGACACTGGGACCAACGCACATGGGCAGGCCACCTGCCTGCACAGGCGCTAGGGACTGGTAGGATTCACAGGGAGCAGACATCCTAAATCCCATTCCCATGCAATGACTGACTCCACACATTTTCTCTTGCCATAGGCTGAGAAAGAGCAACTCTTTGCTCTGTTGTTATGCTCCATGATATGGTGTACAAGTTAATTTGCCTCTGTCATGCTCAGTGGTGATTTACATGTTTTTAACAAGTATCCCTGGTTTCCTGAGAGACTGCTCCATGCAGAACTGAAGGCTCTCTGCCTCCTTCCCACACACCTGCTCACATCCCTTCTCTGCATGATCCGCATCGGACCAGGGACGTCCAGCAGCTGCTTGTGCATTGTGCCATGTGGGAGCATTGCATGTGTGTTTCACTTCTCCCATCAACCTGGCTTAGGCGTTGTTCCCTCTTGTATCTCACAGTCGAGGTAATGCTATGACCCTGAGTGAAATGGGATTATCACTTTTTCATGAAAGCTGTGATATATGTTCTAAAGAGAAAGGGGGTTGTTTGTGTGTGTGCCACACGAAATTCATGCCAAAAGGATACTGAGACCTAATTATGTCTTTAATTGTTTCAGGGTTCCCTTTAGTGCCAGCATCTATTCATGCCTTTGCAAGAGCCAAATACTTCAATGACAAGTGAGTAGTATGTCATTTTTTTAAGGAATTAAGCTTTATTTAACTATGTAACACAATTCATTTGAATTAGTGGTATATTTTTAATGGTGTATTTCCCTTCTAGCTGCTGGATGAGCGTTGACACTCACTTGCTCTATATTGTTCATGGACCTGTAATGGCCGCTTTATTGGTAAGAATATTATTTTCTATCAACGGTTTAATAATTGTTTTAGAAATGCTGGTAACCTGCATAGAATAAAAGTTTCTGTATTTTAAGTATCGTGGCAGAAACTGAAAAGTAGCTGGTGATTTTCTCCATTGCGAAGGACATACATGTTAAGAGAACAGATTCTCAATACTTTTCAAAAATCAGCCCTGTAAAGGGACCTCCCAATAAAGAGTGAGATCTTGAGGCAAACAGAATCTCCAACTGCTTTTGAAAATCACAGCTGTCGCTCTACTCCATGGTAACTTATTTGTGACAAACATACAGCATTAAATGACAGATTGTGAGCAAATGCAAGCCAGCTGGTCAGCACTAGTTTTACTGGTCTCTACACTGACGTGGTCCAAAGGTAGTGAATTAAACTAGGCCAGGAATGAGACTGGACTCAGAGCAGGAGCAGGAGCAACACAGGACAAGACATAACTTGCTAACGTGTATATGCAGCATGTTACATGCAAGTGGTGCCCTGTTTGGTGCAGTAGAGCTGACCTTCCTGAAATGTGCAGAAGGTTTTTAACCAGGCAAAGCCCCAAGCCCATCTCAATGTGTCACCCAAGATGTACTTTCAGCTTTCTAGCTTCCACTAGCTTGCACAGATATACCTGTAGTAATTACCTGGGAGGTCAAATGGTGGGGCGAGGAACACTTGCGATGTCTCTAAATAAAGAAACAACCCTCCACGCAAGTGTATCTGAAAAGTCTGAAAAAATCTTTCTATCCTTTCTTCAGAAGCAATCTTGCATGTCAGCAGTACCAAGAAGCAGACACCTCTCCCCATGTTCAGAGTCTGCCATTCTTTGAGAATTACATTTATTATGGGTTTATTAGTTCAATGTGGATTGCTTCTGCTGTCACAATGCCAGCTTCTAGGGGTGGTCATTTAACCTTTATTTTTATCACCACATGGCAAGTTTGTACATCGTAGTCACAAAGAAAGCAAAGTCTGTTCTTTATGGAAAAAAAGAATAATCTTTAACTTTTTAAAATAAGGCTTTAGAATTTCTGGCTTGCTTTTGTGCCATTTCCAGTCAGATTTTTCTTGTGAAAATGGCAATTTTTGCAGAACCACCTACATGATTTGCCGTAAGAATCTCACAGTGATAGAGAGACTCAGAAGAGCTGAAGGTTTTTACCTTTGCGAAGTCTTTTTTCCACCTTTCACAAATATTTCAAGAAATTCTAAAACTGAAGGTTAACCTGAGCAAGTGAAGTCAGAGGAGGATGGAGAACAAGTTTTAGATTTAATGCTGAATGGGATCTCTGAAGTTATTTATTATTCCTTTTTTTAAATTAGAGCACAAATGTAAAACATTTGAAAGATTTCTCAGTGGCAAAGAATTTATGAAATGGTCTGTTAAAGCTTACTGATTCATGATTTATTGTTCTGAAAGGCCCAGATGAAGTTTCTCGTGTATTTATGGAATATAGCCTACTAAAATAGCTATGTAACGTATGCAATATGAGAATATTTATTTTAAGACATTATATGAAAGGAGCCCTTTGAAGTTCACAAGCATATGTGCATATATTATTGAAACAGAGTGGAAAAGAATGATCTGAGTACACTGGAGTAAGAGAGAGTCTGTGATATCTATAATACACACCTGGTACCCACTGGACCCATTTTCATTATGCATCCACCCAGCTTGTTCCTGGCCCAGGCTCCCAGCACATCCTGCAAGGACCTCCATCTGTGAAGCCACAGCAAGAGCAGGTTTTCATATGCTGGGCACCTGCATCTGAAATCAGATTTCCAGAAGCAAGGCAGGAAATAAGATACTGAGCTAGTCAGAATACCTGACCAAAAGAGTCAAAACTTTATGAAAAGTTCAGCCTTTCTGCCTTGAGCCAGCAATTTTAGCTTTAACCAGTGGATAATATACCATGAGGTTTATATGGTCTGGTGTAGGTAAGGGTAAGCCTAGATTTTTCTTAAGAGTACACTTGCCCCTTTGTGCAGTCACAAACCTGAAATATTGGCCTATGTAGGCCAGAGCACATTCTTTGGAGAATGCAGATGCCCTCATATGTCCCATATGCCCAGGGACATGGTGGGGGATTTTTCTCACCTAGCTGTAGACTTCAGTGCAGAACGAAGCGAGATAGCTAAGCCACCTTTGGAGTCCGGAGAGAGAGACAGTCAGTCCTGGGAGCAATTCGTCTGCATTGTATTAGACTTTTGGATAGACATGAGGTGAATTGTGCCCTGGAAGTCCTAAATTTGACCACAGCAGTGTCAAAATACTCAGTGTTTTCTAGAAGGGAGCCCAACCTGTCTGACACATCTGTTCAGGCAGGTCCTAGGGGACACGTGTAGAGGTGCTTAACACCTACTCTCTTAAGACGTTCAAGATTAATTTCCAAGGCCAGACTATCAAGGAGCTGCCCATTATGAGTTCCAGTGAAGCTAGAAAGTTATATTTTACTGTCATTTGCATGCGCTGTATTTATACTTTGAATGCCTGCTTAATTTGAATGCTTTGCCAATAAGCTCTTTGCTTTTGCAGGTCAATTTTTTCTTTTTGCTTAACATTGTCCGAGTTTTGGTGACAAAGCTAAGAGATACCCACCGTGCTGAGTCTAACATGTATATGAAAGCTGTCAGAGCCACTTTAATCCTGGTGCCTTTACTAGGAATACAGTTTGTTATTATTCCCTGGAGACCAGAAAACCGTCTTGCCGGAGAAATATATGATTACATCATGCATATATTAATGCATTACCAGGTATGTTATATAATAACTACTTAGACTTAGGTGAGGTATTTGCTGTTAGGTTAATTTAGCCAAAGAAGTTGTTGCCAACTGTTTTGCCATGAAAATGAGTGTGATTGATTGTGATTTTGTGTTTCTTTCCTAACCACTTTTACGTTATTGGATTTTCTTCCCCTGCAAAAATAGTATTGTTGCATAAAGAACAATCACAAGATAGAGGAAACCATGAAAAAGGCAGCAAAGATGATCAGATAGCACTATTTCTAAATTAAATGGAGAAATTTGAGATCAGTGAGGGTTTTAAATAATGTTCAAAGCACTATGCTTGCCAGTGCATTCAGATTGACTGAAACTGTTGCCATGAGGTTAATATAAAAATTAGTTGTGCATGAAAACGGTTGTGTGGAGGGAAAGTCCAATGAAGACAGTGAAACTTCATTTAAGAGTTAAAATTCCAGCATTATGCCGTTTAAATTAAAATATAGCGCTAATATTTTGATTTTATAAATACTTTGAAAATGCAGCATTATTCAATAGATCTGTTTTGGTTTTCCTCTTTTTTTTTAACACTAAATGATTTTAAATGCTTGGTTATCTGGTTTACTGGCTGTAATATATCCAGTCTCATATTTACTAGGAAGGGCAGATTTCAAATGCAATTGCGAGTAGCAGACAACATACACAGGCATAGTGACCCACTTCTTGGTTCCTTTTATGCAGAAGGTAAATGCAGAAACTGTTTTAATATAGTAAGTAAGTGAATAACTATAAAAAATCAGTGATGCTTCTTTCCTTAAGCTGAGTGATAAATAATACTAACGAAAGCTATTCATCCTGTCATCTTAGGTTATACTTTCTGCTGCATTAAAAATCCCCCTTACCCCTCCAAAAATGTGGCTGTGTATTCTGCTGCATGCATAGAATAATTGAAGTAAGAGGCCTGTCTATTTTTGCACTTTATGCCATCTTTATTTTACAGTTCTTAAAGTAACGACAGTTTGTTTCTTCTATTGCTACCTGGACCACTGTGTTGTCACTTCAGGAGTCTCAAGGTTGTTCTCGAGGATTGTCTCCAAACATACTTCTCTGGTGTCAAGTTGCTTACAGTTTTAGCAAGCTCGGATAAGACAGAGTGTTAAGATAGTCATTGTACTCTAAAAGCATCTTCCAGTTCCTGCAAGGTTGTCAGAGACCCACAAAAAGAACGTTAATTAGCAATCCTAGTTATGCAAGAGAAAGTAGCTAAGCTGTTGCCAAAAGGGAACCAGCCATGGAAGGGAAGTATCATGAAACTCAGCTGCAACAAGGGATGGGATTAGAGAAGGGAGGGATCTAAGAAGACAAAGTTTTGTCTTCTGTGGGCTCCTTCTACTCTTCTCTCAGTCCTCGAAACGGGAGTCTGTCCCAGGCTTAGTGACACCAAATGCCTAATGGCCCATTCTTCGTAGTCCATTTTGGCAGCAGTACCAGTGCTGGGGACACCAGCGCGGATACGATGGCACCACCCAGAGCTGTCCCAGCAAGAGTGGTGACACAGAGCTGTAGCTGCGTTGCTCTAGTGCAGACCAAGCTTCTGACCCGACAGAGGAGCTCTTAAAACCTCAGGAAAGTAATCTTAGTGTGCTACCTGACAGCATGTAAAAACTGATCTTTCATGAGAGCTATGCAGTTAACCCACTGACTGTAACTAATGGTGACTCCTCCTTTTCTACTTAAAGCAGAATTTTTAAACTGTATTCTAAAATAAACTTTCTTATTCCCTTCCCAAGCATTGCTTGTATGCATATTTAAAATAGCCAGCTATATAATTCTTCCTCTGGTGCTCATTTTCTTCTAGGAGTGATTATGTAATTAGCAGATACTGTATTAGCTTGTGTAATGGCTATATTCCTCCCCTAGCTATTTCACCCTCATAAACTATAGTGCAGCCTGCCTCTCCATAAACTAGCAGCAGTCTGTTAATCTCTGCATCCAGTGGCAGGAATATACAAGAGACATTATCTATGTAATTATGATATTTCTTCATGTGGTTGATGTAGCACATTCTCCATTCATCTCTAAACTGATTAAACAATGATTTTTTTTCTGGAACAGAAAGAGAGGCAGTTTTTCAACAGTGCATCCCTGCTTTAAGTGACCACAATGATTTGATATATTAGTTACCTCTTCCACGTATACAGGAAAGGTACAAACTAGCACTGCAGTCTATTGTAATAATCAGATGATTGAAGACAATGAATGAGAGACAATTTGTTCCCCGATGAAACTGCAATAGTATTTCCTTTATTGTGGTGTTCCCAGCTGAAAAAAAAATGCGATGAGATGTTACCTGCTAAGCTTCCTCTGCCAAAAGCGATTTCACGTAGCAGAAGCCAGTCTGATTTTGAATTGTTCTGCCCTGTTTGCAATATTACCCTCAGTGTTCACCATTTCAAGCAGAAGGATTTTTTCAAATATGGCTATACGAGGAATTCCCACTTGCCTCGCTTTGTCAGGTTGTGTTGTTTATGCTACATAGAGCTGATTCCTCTTAACAGATCTGTAGAGTGGATCTATAATAAGTTACAAAAATTGAAGACTGACTTTTGAGCTCCTAATATGAATGCATATATTTTTTCCACCCTACCCAGGAGCCCCTGGTGTAATCTGTAGAAGTAGAGATTTATAACTCCCCTCACCATAACCAGGATGAGTTCTTCAGTCTCAGACTGTGCTGAAATGAAGATTACATCAGGCAAAAGAAAGATATTTCCGTCCTTAAATGGAATAACTTATGCACAAAGTGAGATGCATTCAGTGGATTGATGAACATGCAGCTAGCTAATTAAACAGGCAGCGGGCCTAAAGTGGGCACCATAAAGCAAACATTTGCATTACAAAACAGCGAGTGATTTGCAGATTTTTCTCTAGAGAACCTGACTTTCAAAAGCCCATTAGATGATACTGAAAGCTTGTGAAAGATGTGCTTCTGCTCAGGGTGTAAAACATTACAGCTTGGGACGCACTGGCTCCTTGCACACCTCTCACATAACAACATATCCATCAGATTCACTTAAAAGCCTGAAAAATCCTACTGTGCTGCCCTGCAAAAACAAAGTGGTACAAATAGGTTGCCTCCTGTGAAGGAATGGAGCAGCAGCAGCCCTGTTTCTTGTGTATAACAAGAATATAACAATATTGAGGAGCCTACTGGCTCTCCGTGGTGAGAGAGGGCGGCACGGACGTGGCTCGTGCCTCACACCCCCAAGGGGCTTGCCTGCACCTCATACCTCCAGAGCAGAGCACAGCAGCCCCCCTGCGAGGTCCTGAGCCTGCGGGGTGGATGCTGCAGGTCCCCTCAGGCTGGTACCCACATCCGGTTTGAGGGATCCCAGGCAGGTGGAAAGAAAAGGGGGCTGAGCTCCTGTCTGAGGAGCTGTCGCTGGCAAGCACACCTGGGTGTCCCCCTTCCCTATCTCTGACGCTGAGTGATAACAGAGGCTTCATAAGAAAGAAATGTTAAGGAAATGCATTAGCTCCAGGATATGTATGTTAGTCCCACATACAGCCTTCCCCCACCAGATGCTCTCCAAGGAGCCCCCAACTCCCGCACCCACTCCCAAGCTCGTTCCACCAGCTTCCCCCTCTCGCTGACTTTGCTCTCCAGCACAGTGCATTTGGAGACAGCATCACACCACCCAGCATGGTATGGCACCCCAAGCCAGAGAAGGTATAGCCACAGAGGTCTGCTTGGTGCGGTGGAGAAATGGCCCCTGAATCAACAGCAACGTGCATGCATTGGAAATTATTCACGTTCTCAAATCGTTGCTGACTAAGATCTTAAATGTGCGAGTCTGCCCCTAAGAAGAACTAATAATGCTCTTCAGCATATGGGCCTTGTTGCCCTTAGCAAATAAAAATATCTTTTATATTAAATGGAGCACAATCAAAGGTTTCTTTCTCCTCAAATAAGATTAATCCCGTGTCACTTAGCAGCCTCCAAGAAATACCCTCAGGACTGCAGCACCTGTGCCCTGCTGAGCAGGAAGATCCAGCTCACAAGAGCCTGATTCGTATAAAAGTTATTTTGTCTTTTTTAGGCATGGGTTTGAGAAATTTATATACCTGCCCTGCCTCAAAGTTGTACTTTTAACGTCAGCTAATAGTCCTTGTGCAGCTTTATGCAGAAAAAATTAGCCCAGTTAAAGGCAACCTCTTACAATATCGAGATACTTCAATCCATTTTACATTCAATCTGTTTCTTTATTTAAAGGGAAATAAATATGCTCCTTGATGCCAGCCTAGACAAAAACTTGTTCTCCTGCTGCATAAAGTTAAGGACATAGTACTGCTTTTGACAACATAAGTCTTTCTTTCATTTCCTGTTCTCTTTTTCTTTGCATTATTACTAATTTTAAAACTTTCTAGTATTATGAGCCAATGAAAATTGGGGAAAAAGTTTTCTGAAAGCTGGATGTTATAAAGTGCCATTTTTGTATGAAAAATTGCTGTATAAAATGACAGTAATGAAACCTCCAGCAGGGAGATGGAGAAGATGCAAAAGCATGAGCTTTTGGTGATGAGATGTCTCCATCATTTTGCAACAGGTGAGCTGCCATCTTCAGCCCTCTCTTGACAATCTCCCTGTTTCAGCAGCAGTAGAAACTACACAGACATGTTCTTCACTTTGCTTTTTTTTTAACCTAACACGAGCAAATGCTTTGTCACACAATCATTTACCTCAGTGGTGCTGTATGAAAGTGCTGTGGATGAAGATGATCAGCAACACAGCATTGTTTTTCTGAAAGCTCTTTCTTTGCTGAAAAGTTCCTGTGGAGAATGGACGTGCTTCCCTGAATAATTTCTTACATTTTTCTGGACATGGAAGCACCTCGGCCATCTTTAGTTATTTTTAATGGACCAAAGCCTTCTGCAGTCTCAATCAGAAACTGTATTTTTATATTATGGCCATCTGTACAATTATCTCTGCCCTCAGCTGCTACCGTCAGTCATGAATGCAGCATCCCACTGAAGCCTAAAGGGCAGCAGAGTGTATAACTAGGGCAGAGACTAAGGCCATACAAGTGCTCAGTCATAACAGAAAGACGCATATATAGGATCCCTACTGCTTTTATGGAGTCATGAGATAGAAAAAAGCCAAATGAGGTATCAGAAACCCACCTAAATTTGCAGTATCTGCCTTGGGAAACCTTTTTGATGTTAATTGTTCTTAAATTGTTAGATTTAAAAATAATTTTTTTTAACTGAGCAAATTATTGGAACATCTTTTCAAGACAGACATCGGATAAGAAAGTGAAAACCAATTCAAATACCTGTCAAGCAAAGGATGTCTGTGGGCCAGTACTGGCATTTAAATGCAGGGAAAAACACACTATCGGGTCAATAAGATGCATGAAGTCCTCTGGACAGTCCCTAAGGCATGATTCAGTAGAGAGCCATGTTTATCTGGTCTTCACAAAGTTCCAGAAATAAAATAAAGAATTCCAGAAGCAGCTATTAAAGGCTTTAATCTCAAAATAAATGTATTCATCATCTCTGCCTTCAGTCCCACAGCCATTGTTATCCTACTATCAGCCTGACAACATATCACAGGTTAGTTTAACAACTCCACACAGTGGCAGAGAGACATAATTGACCTCGAGATACCATCCTCAACAACAATTGCACCCTATGCAAAAAAACAGCAGCAATTGAAGGAAAAAAGGAAGACTTATGTAAAAAAAGTATAGGAATTAACCTGTAGGCCACCATGAAATAATTACTCCAGATTCGGTTTCTCACATGTTTTAATACATCCACTGTAAAATCAGCTGCCTCTCGAGCCCTCTAGCTCAGAAAAGACAAAGCTAATATCGGCTACTGATGTAGCTCTGAAGCTTTGTAGCTGAGGGTACCCACATACTACTCTGAACTACGGGCAGAATTTTACATATAAAGCACAATGTGGAGGGAACACTAAGGACTGTAACCCTGTTCTTCATGTAGCAGCATTTTCGGACTGCGATTGAAAGCATGTTGGATGTTATGATAAAGACATCACAGAGATGAACAGATGTGAAGGATCTGGCAGTGCCAGAGCTTCACACTGTGTAGTGATACATATACTTTACGTAACCCAGTGAGATGGCAACTCTCAATCAAGATAACCATCCGGATGCCTTGAGACGTGAGCTAAAATTCAGGCAAGATGTAGAACCACTTTAGCATTTACTCTAATTAAAAACAACAAGCAGTTTATACGCAATTTTAATCTGACAAATCTTTGCTGCATTTGTTCTCTTGATCTCAACCTAAGTGTTCACTACTTGTGTGAACATCACTTCTGTATTTCCACAAAAGGCTGGCAGATCCCATGGTTGGCTACCTGTAAACTGGTAACTGCTACATCAGGTACTCATGGTTCTTCAAACATATCCTCAGAAAACTCCTATCTATCTGCCATGAGTCCTCATCACAATTTTAAAAAGGTTAGCTCATACTCTCCGCATGGTTACAGTCCTTAGTGTTCCCTCCACACTCATTTGGGTTTTGTGTTTGATTGTGAGCTCTTTGGATAAAGGATTTTGTTGTAGAACATGAGGTAGGGACCCTAAATGCACAGACATACTGACGTACCGCGGAGGCTGAGCTAAAAAATTTACCTCCAACCTCATTCCAGAGGACCTCTCACTGATTTTACTGCTAAACAAAGCATTTTAATTTCAAAGGCAACTGGTCCAAATTCATGCGAATGACAGTGAAAACAATTTCCCAGGAAAGCAGAATAAATTTTATTCTGGTCACTTGTCATTTCAACATAGGTCCTCAGATTCGTTCAACCCAAGGAAGAGCAAGTGCTTGAGTGACACTCAGAAAGAAGATTAAAAATGAGCCTACTTTGACTTTTGCAAAGGAGAAGTCTCTGCAACCAAGGTGAACTGGCTGCATGATCCCTGGGCACATAAGAAGGCAGAAAGCACCCTCACACATCTTTTTTTCTCAATTTATCTTTTCTAATATATTACTATAGTCCTGCCAGGAGGCAAAAGGAGAAGAAAACATTTGTGCAAGGAATTTATGCTCAGGGTTGTGCCATTGACCCGCCCCCGTGGAGCCGCAGAAATGGGAGCCCCACGGCAACATGAGCAGGGGTCCCAGGGATGCAGTGCCAGCCCCCACATTTGTTGAGGAGCAGTGGGCACGGCCTGTCAGCCTGTTACTCTCCTTATGGCTGCAAGGGGGACACATTCAATATACAACACTTTATACCACAGTTTTTCCATGTCTTTGTTTTCCCCTCTTATTTTTTCAGCCTTTCAGGGGACATACTTGGGTTTTGAGCTAGTTTCTTCACTATGTTTCCTGCTTGTCCATCTTACATAGAGGGTTAATATATAAAAAGTGCAAATGTACATAAATGTATAAGGTTTAACTTTAAAAGAGGAAAACTGTTCCCTACTTGTAGATGAACGGAGTCGTTGTCATCATCTACAAAAAGAATTTTATTCTGTTGACATAATAGATATGTTCTGAGATAGAGTCAGGAGTAAAACTGGGACATTTCATGTTAATTTAGGAAAGAGAAAAGAAGGAAAATAGTGGAGTAGCATTTAATGTTGGAAGTGTAATAGGCAAGAAATAAAAAGGATAGCATGTAAATTGTCCCCTGTTTGCTCAAGTTCACATAGGAGGACTGTCTTCACTTGTGTGAGGAGTCTGCTAGAGACCTCCAGCATCACATGGAGATGGAAATTTCCGACTCACTGTAAAATGAGTTCAGGAATGATCACAAATTTCGGATGGCAGATCCCAGGGGGCTATGACTGTTGGGAGAAGAGCAGGGATATGTGTGTGGGGCAAACTGGAGAAAATAATTTCTGCAGCCAGCAGAGACATACAACATGCATAGCCTCAAAAGAGTGAGGAACCCGATCTGTTCTCAACTCACTGCAAATCAGGAGTGTAACAAAAGAGAGATGGGGCATCACCATGTCTTCCTCTTCAGCATTGTTATCAGAAGTTGTCTGGAAAAAACACTCACTAAGGGAACAACACGCTGCAACAAAAGAAAGAAGTAGAGCAACTGCAGGATGTAACAGAGGACAGTAAATACACACAGGAACTTCAATTGTTCAGGTTCAAATTCTGCCTTAATGTGAACTCCAGTTCTCAAATTCTGCTAAATTCTCCAATTAAAGAATAGATTTATTTAAAAAGTTCCTCTACTTCTTTCTCTCTGTCTGGTGTCTTTTATGTCTGTCATGCCTCATGTGGATCACCCATTGGCAGGCTCTAATCCCAGAGGAGACCAAGGTCCATCTCATTTCCCATCGTGGCTGACCGTTGTCGTTATAAACACTTATATTTTAGCAAAAAGGTGAAACCCCTAATGTGACTGTGTACCATACGGTTCAACAGCAGATGTTTTGCAAAGCTCTGTGCAAATTGATGCAGTACACAGCAGCACACAGTGCTAAAGCATAAGCAATATAGGCCACAGTCATGTGCAACATTTTCTTCCCTTGCATAAATTTGGATGTAGGTGTCTCTGGTCTGTCAAAGTCTTGCTTTAGAGGCATAAGGTTTTGGGGAACTTTGTGATGTTTCTCAGAACAGGACTTGTGGATGAATTATTGCATATTGTGAAATGAGATTTGAGTTTTCTGAGAATATTCACGTTTTATTCCAAAATACAAAAAGAAGCCTTCTTTTTCTCATCCTGTCTATAGTTCCTCCTCCTCACACATGCTTTTCCATGTTCATATTTGAAATCATGTCAAATTACTTATTTGCATAAAAGAAAATTTTGGGGAGTAAAGTAATTACTGACATTCAGGTGGTTAGCACGTCTTCAAAGCAGCCTCTATGTGTCTCTAATATATAAGCATCTGGTAAAAAATAATTATCACTTACCGTAAGTTTGTGGCCCAAAATATACACTAAGAGTCCAAGATCTGTTTTACAAAGTGTTAGTTATAATTTAATTTGTAATTGGTTGAATGAGGATTTATAGAAAAGACACAGCTGTAACAGTCTTCAGAGCAGCCCTTGGGAATGCAAGCTATTGTATTGCAGTTTTTCCCTCAGTTTCACAAACTGCCATAAGTTTGGCTTATTATAAATATTTTAAGTAATTTTAAATGAGTGCATTTGGCTCCTAGTGTTGTTATGTAATGTTATTTTAATAAGAGCTAGTACTATTTAGAACACGGACAAGTTTAATTACATGACTCTGAATGGCAGGCTTTATGTAGCAGAATTTCTGTCTTATTAATTTTGTACTTCCTACTTCCTCGCCTCATGTTCCTGGCTTGGCCCTATTTAATCTTGCAAATGTAGTGAAATGTTATCTCAAGCACTGCTGCACTATTTAAATTAATTTTAAGCAGTTTAGGACCAAGGTATGATCTGCAGTCTCTCTTTTTCTTTCCTCCCTCCTTTCTCGGTTATTACTTTTTTCCTTTTTCAATTAATAATACCGCTTTTCACATCCACTTCATCCATCCCACTGCACTCCATGCAAGTTCTCTTATGCTAACGTACACTTCAATTCAAAGCCTTTCTGAGGCATTTGATTATCCTTGGCTACCTTTAACTGGGTAACTGCACCCTGACAAATGAGTGGCATCATCTGTGCTTCTATTCCTCTTCCCTCTCTTCAGCAAAATCCGTTGCAGTGGGGTATTCCACTATAAGATATCTACCTTAAATATCTCTTAATTTCCTTTCTGTAGCTCTCTTGGATAGAAACAGCTTTACAGCCAAGACAGATGATTAAGAAATGCTGGTAATACAAAAGAAAGTGTTAAACACAGTGAAAAGATAGAAATCAGTACAATAATGTAGCTGTGAACATGGGGGAGGTTAGAAGAAATAACTGAGATGGGGAGGAAGTGGACTAATTTTTTTTCTTATATCTCTCAAGTCTAAACTTCCAAACAGTACAATAACAATGACGCACTCTAAAACTCTTTTATTTTTCTTCCTCTTAGGGCTTGCTTGTTGCAACTATATTCTGCTTCTTCAATGGTGAGGTAAGCCTGTGAAATACAGCAAATTCAGATTTTTGATAAATAGTCACTTTGCTGTTCATTAATACAGAAAAGAAGCCTGTCCAGCTACAAATGTCAAAACAGCACAAAGTCATTTTTTTAGGCTATATATGCAAGCAGTACCGTGCATTTTTCAAAGCTCCATACAGAGCCTGACCTGAACTTCTCTGAGGGGGTAAATCAGGAGTGTTATTCTTACAAAGCATATCACACCAAGTGAGATACCAACAAGAGGTTCTCACCCCTACCCTCTGTGATTTCATCCAAAAGAGAGGTCAAGGTAAAGGAGAAAAACATTCTACTTCATCTCCTTTTCCTACTATTTAATTTCACCTCTAGCCCCAGAATAGCTGGATGAATGACCTGAAATGACTGCAGTATCCTGAATGAAGTAGTAGGGCTCTTCGAGAGGGGGGCAGCCTGGAGAATCAGTATGCTGGGTTCAACCCCGGAGAGCTGAAAGAGAGGACGTCGCTAGTAGTGCTGTCAGATTATAGAAGCCTGAAGGAGTGCAATTACTTTCACTCCTTCGAGGATTAGCATTGGCCTTTTTAAGGTCAGGGTTTCTCAAGTAGTAATTGAGAAATAAAAGCCCTTGAATGAAAGATGGCTCCCATTCTCTTACAGCTGGATCAATATTTTATATGCCTACAACTTGTTTTAGGTCTACTTCACTACTTTTTTGTGATCTAATAAAAATAGCTGGTTAAAGCATGTCAAGAGCCATTTACGTTCTTACAGCAAGCCGTTTTCTGAAGATGGTTAGCAGGAAAATTGTTTTTCAGTACATCAGGAGTATTTGACTGCAGCAAAATGAAACGCTGCATATCTTAGAAAAGCTAGAAAGTACTTTAAAAAGTTAATTTTCAGTCCAGTGCCAATGAATTCGATACATATCTTCCTTTAATAGAGCAAGGTTTGTGATGCTAACACTCAGTGTGTCACCCTAAAGAGATATTCATGTTTGTATTTATCCCTGCATATTATCAGCAAGTAGCAAGTTCCCAGTAATGATGTGAGCACACTGATTTTTTTGTAGTGGCTTGAAGTGAGTTATCTTGTTCATAAGGTTCTACTTACAGATCTGCCATCTTTCAGGAGGACACAGTGCATTAAATTCTGGCACCACATCGTTACACATTTGCTTCTGGCTTGCTCACTGAGTAAATGTACAGAGGAATGCAATACTACAAAAGATTAGATGCCTCCCACTGTAATTCTGTACCATGGCTTCTCAGGGGACTTAAAAGAGAATAGCAAACCATGAGCACTTAGTGACCCCAAAACCTGAAATGAAATGATATCCTTAAGTATCACACTACAGTAGTTCACTCTCTGGTTCCCGAGACGGCTCCAATTAAGCAAGATTCCAGAGATCTACAACTCTCTATTCATACCACATTTCTGTCCCCAGGATCTGCAGGCTGCCACGCTTCTCCTTCTGCCTTACTCATCACTTACTGGCACAGTCCAACCTCCATACCCATGAAATATGGAGAGTAAAGGGTTCTGATTCTTCCTGGTAGGGAAGAATTGGCATGCGGAAAGAAGAAACCAGCCAGGAAATTTTTGAAACATTTTCTCTCCATAGAAATAACTGCATAGCAGTGTTTCTGCATGTCACTACTTCTCTCTAAATAATGTGTTGCCCCAAAATCCTAGTCCTGAACATTGCCTTCTTCCCTCTTTGTTCCCTTAGCATCATGTGAAAAATGTTATAGTTTAGTTTTTGCAAAGCATATTTGTTTAGTATTTTACAACTTCAGGGTAAAAGATCAATTCTTTTGTAATTCTCCAGCTATGATGAGAACATATGGATCTGTGCCTACATTAAAGGCTGGAGCAATGCTAAAAGTGAAAAAAGGCAGTAAAATATACACAGAAAACATAAAACTTCTTAAAGGCTGCTTGTTTTTTAGATGTGGTTCAGTAGATAGCCCAAATTCTGAAGCACTGTTGTCAGTGCTGCGGTGTCAGAAAAACGAATCCATCCTTACAACTCCACTAATATAAATTTCAAGGTACCCAGTAATGGTGTCAACATCATGGCTGACCACATGTAACAACTAACTGAAAACCAGATGCCAGGGTATGAATGAACCTGATTTTTTAACTAACCTATAGTGTGCTAGGCAGAAAAACAAAAGCCACATTCCAGAAATGAAACTGAGTCTAAAATAATACACAACTTTATTTTATTCCTTGAGTATTGGATTACACTTAATTTAGAATTCAGAAGGCTTAAGGAAATAGATCATATTCATATATGATTCTCAGATGTCCAGTCTCAGAGGCACTCTACACTTTGTGGACTTCTACATCAGATGGAGCTGCTGATAGAAAGTTGCAATAGCAGCTAGTGGCTCCATATACAGACTGAAGACGCACGGTCTAACTGCATACCCTGAATAACAGCAATAGTCGTCAGCACCTACTCACCTCTGAAAGTCTCTCTAACACATCTGGCAGCCCACAGGAGAGAGTTCCTCCCCTGTGAAAGACACTGACCTGGACATCTGCCTTTGATACTTGAATTGTCAATGTGGCATCACCTTAGAGGCCCACTGTGTTTACAGTCCTGGCTATCACAGACACACATCTGTAAAGGATAGGGTGCAAAATGAGGTAAAAAAATGAATCTGATATTGAAATGTGTCTTCCAGTTCTCTGCTGCATTCCCATAAGGAATCACATGGATGCCTTGAATACCACCAGGTAGCTACAAACTGCATGAATGATTAATGAGTCCCTCATAGCATGACTGATCAGAAATGTTCATCGGTGTTAAGCACTAGGAACAAACAGCTGCGGGGATTCAGATTTCCTAGTCATGCTGAGTGCAATTTTTGTTGGTGCTTGGCTGATTTTCAACATAACCCCAGCTTCCAAAATTTTTTATCTGCTGCAGACATGCAGATTGTCTAGCAGCCAGTGACAGAGCTGCTTAGAAACCCTCTCATTATTTCATTATAGGAAATTATATTCACCAGACAATAAGGGAAGCTTTTTTAGAACTTCCCATTAAGGTGGACAGAAACCCAAGATGACACCTCTATCATATGGACTCACGACAGTCTGGTGGTACTTGCATCAGCATTTTACCAATAAATGACAAGCATAATAACTTTCTATGTACTAGAGTAGCTTTGATGGCTGTGCTAGAAAAGTAAATGAAAGGATTATGACCCCTTTCTTCAAAGTGTCATTTATTCTTGCAGATGTACAAGTGGCAGCTATATAAGGCACCAAACCTAAAGGGTAGTAGAAACATGCTAACACCAAGATGACAGTAGGAACTCCTGAAGGGAGAGAAAGGGGCTGTGTCCATCCACCCATTATGTACTGATCTTTGGCTGCCCAAGAGAATTAAGCTAATTTCCCCTAGGAGCTTTGCTGAATGTAGTATGAATGGACATAGATCAAAGCCACAGTCCGGTCTTCAGTCATGGTGGCAAATTGTGCCAGCTGCTGTTTCCATCCATTGCCGGGGCATTGAGCATGGGGAAATGCAGTGTGGGGCAAGAAGATTAGTTTTCGTAACACAGGAGGCTTCATGTTCAGTGATGTACTTTTTATTACTGGAATATTTAGCTTCAAGGCTGAAACACATGAAGTTTATCCAGAACAAACAATGCTAAACTCAGTACCACCTGACAGTGTTTTACATTGGTGTTCGCAGCAAACTACCTCACCTACCTCACTTCAGTGCAACAACAAACCCATCTACAGAAAGAAATGTCAAAATACTGAATAAGAAGCTCTAACAATGTCTGCATTAATGTAGAAAGACATATAAACAATGGCCTTTTTAGGACTCTTTAAATGATAGATCTTCTCAGGCATGTTCATATAAAATCTCAGAGTCAAGTAGCACTGTAGTTTCTCTGCCCAATACAAACAGCATTGCACAGATGATACAAGGTCTCTGCAATAGTCTGCTCACCAGACCATATTTCCAGTCCTGAGACTGCTTCTAGACTAGAAAGCTGGCCAACAAAATGGAAAGTCTGTTTGGAAAAAAACAGCCGTATGTCTCGTGTGCCAAAGAGGCATGAGAGTATAACAGAGAACAGAAAACACTTTAAAGCCTTGAAGAGCAGAGTAAACAAACTTAGGCTCTTCTTTTCTTTAAGCTTTATTTTCTTCCATCTGCCATCCCAGAGAACAGCATGGCAGCCACTGCCCGGCCCCTCCCGGTATCTTTTGCTGTTAATACATTCTGGTTTTGCATGTGATTTCCAGTAATGCTGCTTACACATTTAAAACACACACATTAACAGTTTTATGAATTATGAACATCTGAGGACCTTGGAGTTAGCACAGAAATATAGATTAACACATTGTTTTACTCAGCGTCAGCAGCTTGTATTATCCATTACCCTTTTGTGGTCAGATTCTTGTAAAGACCAGCAGCTCAGCGGAGAAGAAAAACAGTTGCTTTAACCTCGTGCTCTCACAATCCATGGAGCCTTTTAAACCTGACTATCTGCACTTCTAATCGTGGGCTGAACCGGAAGGGATATGCCTGTTCTCTCTCAAACAATGTATGTCACTCCCATCTGAGAACAGAGCCATGAGCTTCTCACTGCAGCTTTTACACAGCTCCACCATATGCCCATTCTCCCCTCTTCAGTTGCCCATGTTATCGCCAAACCTACGGTTGCCCGATGGCCCGTCAGACCACAGCTCGGCTGAGAGCAGAGAGCTCCTCTGGGGCTCATTGCCTCCACAGTGACCGCTCTCCCCACTTGAGAGCAACCGAAGCCTTCGCTAAGACCTGGGGGTCTATGCAGGGTGTAGAGAAAGAGTGGACTGGGAGGGGAACAGGAAGGCTACAAGAACATCTTCTTACCATCTTTACTAAAGACTCTGAGATTAATCTGAAAGGATGAATTCCTGTGAAATGCAAACACACTCAATACGAGCCTTAGGGACAGCAATGGCCAAAGGTGCTCCTGGTTAGAGACACTCATAGACCACTGTTGCAGCGTGTGAACACTGGCTCCTGGCAGGCAGAGCCAGTATGCAGACATCAGATTTCTGCGTTACCCTCGTTCTGTCAGGTCCAATAGGTTCCTGAACTGCTGCCCCAGAATGGTATTGGGGGAAATTCTCTGACTTAATCCTCGTGAAGATTGCTTATTCCAATCCCTCCCTATAGATTTTAGGATGACGAAGCTACAATATTCGTGTGGAACACTACCATGTCAAAAGCCAATTTTTAAGTGACTAAAATCCATATAGAATTTGCCTTATGCATAATGCTTCTCTATAATGTACTATAGCTGTCATTCCTTCGTTCAGTAATTCTTTCTCACTAATAAATTTTGGCAATGGTGTGATATGAAACATCCCCACATGCAGCAATTTCACTTTGAATCTCAGTATTATCATAGGAAGCTTTGTACATAGCCCTGTTCATTAAAGCTCCATTGTAACTATATGCCTTTTCTGTGCTTTCTATCTAATTAACCTATAATCAGCCATTTGATTTCTTTTCTTTATCTGTTAAGAAAAGGTGAATAGCAATACATTTCTCTAGATGAAAAGAATTCAAACTACATTGTCATGAGAAAAGATAGCAAAAAACAGCCAGAATTGGAAATTGAGCATGGATGTAATTTTCAGTGGGTTTTAAATGACTAGACTGGCAAATGACTGTCTACTCAAAAGAGCAGTCATACTGAAGTCAGTGCCACTACTTGCATGAGTAAGGATTTATAGCATCAGTCCTCATACCTTGGCTTGCTCCTTGGCTTGAAAATATAAAGCTGAAGCAACTAAAATATTCATTCTTGGCATGCTGCATAGCCCCACTGCACACTCAGTAAGCGTCTCAGATTTATAGCAATACCTTATGAAGCCTTGTCCTTATGTGACATGAAACAGCTTTCTTGCAGGCAGCTGTGGGTGGTGAGTGGATAGCATTTTATTATATACATATTAATAGAGTGATTAGAATTGTGGAGACATGAGAAATATTAAAGCCGTTCAAATTCTTCTACGCGAATCAAAGATACCGTTCTGCACAAAACTTAAGAGAGTGGCTGCTGAGCAAACTCTCTAAGCAAAAACACAACATCCGCCTCAGCAGGAGTCCTGTAACTCCAGGACACTCCTGCAAGTCCCAGTGCCTCACCTGCTTCTCCCTTCCTCTGGAGGAAATAATTTACAGCAGATTATTTTGGCAAGCTATTCATTTGGCAAATGTTCTTACATTTACTTGATTAGCATAGTTAAACTGAAGGAGTAGAGCCAGGGTTTGCCCACCCCCGGCTCATGTCTCAGCACTTCTTTTGGGAAGGAGCTAGCAGGTTCCAGGACACCTGAATGTGCAACTTGAGAAGGGGCTGTTATTCCCTGGCACTTCTCAATAGCTTGATTCATATCCTAGCTTCATATAAAACATCATGCTTAATGTAAATGTTAAATAAAAGACTTTTTCCCAGAAGATGAATGTCCAAAGGTTGAAATTCTTTGCTATGCAGAAGGCTATGACCAAGGCTAACTTTTTGCCAGCACAGAACTACCAAAACCTGTTCATAAATTACCAGAACACAATCCCTGTTCATCTGTACTAATCCTCCAACCCTTTCTCTGTACAAAAGTAGCCTTGGCAAGCTCAGAAAGTGTACTTATATTCTGCCATTCATGGCTAGTTTTAGTCAAGGTTAAGTTTCTTGAAGGCAGAGGTTCATAATGTGTCATTCCAGGGGCAAGACTCCAACTGCAGCATCAGTTGAGTTTTAATCCCCATCCCTCCCTCCTTCTCCCTCTTCCACAGCAGCATCCTACTGCATTCCTGTACAGTAATCTATCCCACATTTACCTCTTATAGGAATAGCTATCTCCCTATATATACCCTCTCTTTGCATGCATCAACAACTGCAAAAAATCTGATTGCTGCCATAGTTTAGACAGGAAGGGACCTAGGGTGGAGAGCTGAATAACTGCGCTACTCCTGCTTCAAGAGCTGGGGGAAAGGGGAAGGGAGAGAGAGATTGAACCTGATAGGTTTGGTCCTGGAGCTTACAACCAATGGCTTAGCAAAGCATAGGCCAGGTGTCACTGCAGCAAACAGAACTGGCTTAACTGCAGTTTTAGGAGTTACAGTTATGCCTCACCCTAACTATGCATTTCTTTAACAGGTACAAGGAGCTTTGAAAAGACAATGGGCACAGTATAAAACCCAGTGGGGACAAAGGCGCCGAGAGCACTGTTCCACACGATCTACCTCCTACACCGCAACATCAATCACAGAGGTCCCTGTTTACTTGTACCATCATGATTCCAACAACGAACAGTTAAATGGAAGATACATAGATGACTCTGAACTTGTTGCATTAAAATCTGGAGAGACATCTGCCTAGCTCAGCAGCAATTACCGCAAACTCATTGTTTCGCATTCTGCTTGTGAACGAAGTGGGGAGAAGGGTGGAGTGTGGAAATCCAGACCATCGCGGGAGAGGGCATGACCAGATGACAAGACACATTATATTCAAATCACATCAGCCTTTGCCAGGGACGGCGTAGAGAGAGTCCGATGCAGAGGTGGGAACAGCAATCCATCTGACCAGCTGCAGCAGGGGCTCAACATGGAACTGCTCACCAGGCTACGTAATTTTCACACTTCCTGGTACCCGCTATATGAAGTGACTATACGACAGTAATAACAGTGTCAGGTGGCCCATAGAAAATAGAAAAGAAAGAACCAGTACATGACATTTGCAAACTTTTTGCACTTTTTGCTTTAGGTACCTTTTTTCAACCCTAGATTTTGAACCGTCAACTCTAACAAGCCATAACCAGCTTGGAATCCTTTCCTTTTCCCTTTTTGACAAACCTGATGCCCTCTTAAAAATTTTTGCACTTTTTAAGACAAAAAGCGATCATTCTAAAGTATCCAAATCTTGATGATTTGGAAAGGATACCCAAAATAGTACCATCCCCTTAGCAGCTGCATAAAACAAATGAAGGTAAATTAGTAGTTGCATAACAAATTCTCAGTCATCATTACAGAAACATACTAATTCTTTAAACTGCCTCACAAAAGTCCTGAAGACATCTCAAAATAGCTTTTATTTAACATTTGATAATTCCTTAAGAGAAAAAGCTATCACTGTATTACTCTGCCCAGAAACTTCATCATTTATGCACAATTCTTTCACTCCAAATAAACAGTGAAATTTGTTTGGAAATGATGATTTTCTCTCATAGGCATTCTGAGGTGAATGCTAGATGAGTGCTTGCCTCTGATAAAATTATAGCCATGGCAGTAAATAATCCCAAGAAAGAAATAAGGAACTAATGTCACAGCACAAGAAACATGTATTTTTAGAACCCGGTTGCTGCTGTGACTCCCTGGTAGCTGAAGGTAACAACGTCATGTGTGAGTCTGTCATCAGGAAAACATGATGAATGTACAGTCTTGTCAGTAATAAGCACCTTTTATCACACATTCAAAGCATCATTAGTCTCTGTATGATTACCGAGCCAGAAATAGGGCCAGGGAGAAGCTGATTTGCAGTTAGAAGTTATAGTACTGGCCCTGCACAAGTTCTGCAGATCACTAAAGGAGTAGATGAATGACCCACATAAAGCTAAATGGTAAGAATCTGCAAGCAGAATGGCCAGTTCCAGGAGGTTTTGAATACCTGTCACTGCTAGAGTTTTGTTCCTAAAACTTTCAATGAGTGTAATGTCATTCTTTCCTGCATCTCTTTGAAAGACCTTTCCTACTGATCTCCCACTCTTTCGCCTTTGGTTTAGACAAGCATGGGTTATTTCAAATGCTGACAATGTCAAGGTATGCATCACAGCCTTTACCTTTGAAGGAAGCTGGAAAGTTATCCATCCCCCTCTGTTTTCCCTACTAATCCACTTACATTTGACGCTTCAACCCCAGCCCAAACAGGGAAATATAGTGAGAGAAAGCAGTTGCAAGGGCCAGTTTTGGCACTTGATCATCTCAAATGCCTAGGTAGCAGCCCTCATCTTGGAGTTGTTAAAATGCCAGCCTATATAAGAGGAATAAGAGGAGAAGGAAGGAATAGGATACTTTTCTCTTAAGCTGCAATTCAACTAATGTGGGAATTTTTTCACAGCTGTAAACTTTTCTCTCTTTCCTTCACTTACCCACTGAGATTCCATTCACAATAATGTTTCTTCTTAGCATTGCATAACGTACTTAAAGTCCAAGTAGTCAGAATATTCTTAAATTCAGATCTTGTCAAATAGCAAAAAAGAAAAGAAAATCTGAAATAAAATGCTTGAGCTAAATTTAAACTTTAAAGATTAAAAATAGAGGCCATGATCCTGCTGGTTATGCTCTGCTGAAGAAGGGCTGAAGGGCAGATTTTATATTCCACAGCATAAAGTGCTAAAATAAATCCTACCATAAACCTTCAGATCCCATTAAAATTATCAGGCTACTGACTTAAATGTTGACTTAAATTGGTGTTAACCTGTGTTGGACAACTCTGTTCAGTGTTTAGGAACAACTTCTGCAATGCAGTTCAGTGTAGACCTTGAAAGCTGGAGACAGTTTCATCCTTAGTGATTTGGAACCAACTTTAAATGCTGTATTCAGCTAGGCTTAGTTTTTCCTTCACTGACACAGTTAAACCTTAAGCTTTACTGGTCATCAGTAAATTTTAAATGGAGGTCTGCTGTACATATCCACCTACATGAGTCATCATCTAACCAGAAAAGTCTCTTTGAGGAATGAGCTCATGAGGGAAAGGTGTAACCCAGCGTTAGCAGAGGGGACTGAATTCCCTCTGCAGGTACACAAGGCAATGCCCCACGATGAAGGCGTTTGCTCCGTTTGTGCTGCAGAGGCACATACCTCGCTGCTGCACATCACTGACGCTTTCTCCCCATTTTAGAGAGTGAGTTGCCAATGCTGCGACAATCGAACAAGAGAGCAGAGCAGGGGAACAAGAACTAACTGCCCACTGACGGTGCAATTCATAGCATGATCAACCTAGTGGAATATTTACAAGAAAACACAGTCCTGTGTACTCATTCAAGCCACATGTCTATTTTTCAGACTTCAAGGAATACGAAGGCAGTTATTTTTTCAGACAACAGTATTTTGCATACTGCTATTTCTATTTTTGCCAGTGAACAACGGGAAATGGAAGATTTAGTAGCTAAAGACAACAAGGCAGCTTTACTATGAATGTTGTATTTCTGAATAATTTTGAGGCACGCTGTGCTTCCCAGGAGAGCTCCAGAAGAGCTTAATTTCTAAAGACACAAATGAGCTGATTGTAAAAGAAGTGTGCATAATACAGAATGTTTAATAATCATCATGTACATATAAGTATAGGTTGTTTTACAGTCTATTATGTTCATGTGGATGTACAAAATTGATATGCTTTGCCATTATAGTGGTTGCTTTCTTCATTTGCTAATTTTTTTTTTTAATCTGTTCAGGAGAACGTTCTGAAATGCTAAGTTTAGGAGCTTGGTTTGGGGATCTTGGTTTTAGCTTCATGTGACAGAAACAGTGCATGGTTATGGCAGTCTTTGTGGCAGCTTTGATTTCAGTGACGTGATAATGATACACAGCCACTAAAAAATTCACATGCTGAATTCACTGCTAGCATTGTCCTGGGGCTTTGCAGAAAAGGCTGCATTTTTACAGCTTGTTGGTAATTTCTAATCAAAATATTTTTCCAATGGAAAATGCTATTTTTCTTCATATCAAGATGGTTTGAAAAGTTGTCATTGCACACATGAGGTAAATTTAACTTCTGTGCTTTATAAATAGCACCATACACTAATGACAGCATTACTGAGAATGCTGATCTGACCTGAATAATTACAATGTCTTGGCATTAGAGAACGTTGTCTCTAACCCATATCACAAGAACAGCAGCTTCTTTGTTTCCGTTCCTTACAAATGCACAATTCAGGCATCACTGTACCAAAAGGCAGGAAGGAAACTGACACTTGGATCCATGGATTCAAGGAGTATTTTCAAAGGAAACAAACCTTACTTTAATCAATCAACTCTGTAGTATCTACACCAAACCCAACACATGAAAACGCAGTTTAGTGAACACTAGTTCTGGCAGAAGGGTTTGTGTTGCTTTGTTTGAACAACTAAATTTATCAGAAAGGCTCTGGTTGTTCATCTTTATGAAGTACAGAAATTCAGCACAGAAGAAAAGACTTGTTGTGGCATGGGGTGCTGAAATTAAGCCTTACTTTTTCATTTGATTTACTTAATAAATATGTTTTAGCTGAAATAAAACAGCAACAAAGGTAGAACAGACAATTTTCTCCATATTAAAATTCTTAGCAATAATGCTATCTTAATTCAAAGTCTGCCAGCGTTTCCATTACAAAATGCTCTTGTGTTTATAATATAGCAGCATAACTTTGTTTTGGGATAAAACCAACCACGCAAATGTGGTGAATTTCTATCTCCTTTTCCCGAAGCCTCCTCCATCTCTTGCCAATCTTAACAAACAAAATCCAGACGATTTTTTCAAAGATACAAAGCCTAAATACTAACAATATGAAGGTATCTGCATTTCTAGTGCTTTAATTCTAAATGTCAGATGTGTCTTCATGAAGCTAAGCATACATTATTTTTGATTATTTTGATTATATTTTTGATTATTGCTCAATAATAGGAGCATTTGTAACCTTAAACTTATTTGCACGGAAATAGTAATTGATCACAAGCCAATGAGGTTCTACCCAGCGTATGACCGTGCTCTGTCTGCCCTTCGGCAGCAAGGAGGATTGCACAGCAGACCGTTACACAGGGACCCTCAGCCAAACTGTGTGTGCTCTCTGCAACCACTGCTAGCCACACTAAAATCAATTTTGTAGCTAATGCTAATGGCAAACTGGGAATTTTGAGTTCCAGGGACAGGTGGGCTGTTGCAGTGTGCCACTGCTGTTGTCTCAGGAACGCAATACCCATTTGAGAGGGACTTGGCAAAATGAAGGCATGTGTCCTACACAGCAAATGACAGAGACCCTCAGCAAGAGAAAGTCAGACCTCAGGCTAAAAAATCATCCCCCGAGGAGGCACATGATCAGCTCCTTAGTCAATTATCTAGAGAAATTTAAGTTCCTGGACAACCCTGAGGTTAAGTATTGGCCCAGAGTTATGCTTTTTTGACAACTCTAGTTCTTTAGCAGAGGTGGTAATTAAGGTACCTTTAAGGATTAATTTAAAAGCATTCCAGATGTTCCTGTGCAGCACCATAATTTGCAGGTACTTCCGGATGAATCCCAAATCCACATTTAAGTGCCCCTCCCGTTGAGTACTCAGACCGTCACTGAGAAAATAAAAAAAGTATTTCTCAGAGTTTAAAATAAAGATCAGTACGTTCCCCTCAGCCTAAAAAAGACCAGCTGTTTATAGATTTAATTATTTAAATTAAGTGATGAGAAGTTTATCATTATTGAAAATGTCACATTGCTGCAGAAAAAAAAAAATCATCAGGGTAAGCTGTGTAACTACAGTGTTGTACGTGAGACTCCTGCAGCTCCTTGTGGCAACGGTTAAGTCCTTGGCTGGGGTACTTAATTCAGGTTGACTGCTCTTCCTCTCAAAAGAGGGGGACAAAGCACAGCAGTGAGACCAGTCCAACGTCTAGAATACATGATTTGTAATGAAAAGGAGTGGAAGAACTGGAACGATTTAGTCCAAGAAAATCCCCCCAAAATGTATGGCAACCCTCTTCACAGATGGAAATAACAGTTATGAACCCTCATGTCAACAGTAAGGATAGAGCTATGAATCTCCCTAGCTTCAAGATTAGTGTTAGGGATGATTTCTGCCTATCTGCAGGGGGACCATACAGATGACCTGCAAAGCTCCTGTCAAGACTTTTTTTCTATGATTTCATGACAGCTGAGGTGGGCACTGTGGGGCAGGGAAGGTCTTTAATTCTCATTATATGTCACCTATGAGCAGAGAATCAACATTTGAGATTTTCTTCGTAATCCAATCGCAAGCTCTCTCAAGCCAATCTTTAAAAGAAAAAAAAGTCCATTTTAAAGGGTATCAGATAGCTACAAGAATTTTAAGAATCTGGTTCCCTTTCTCTCACTGCAAGTAAATATAACTTTAAGTAAGTGCAGCCGGTTGCAGTGCCATGACGTGTTAAATTTAGCAATGTGACTAGATGTAACCTCTCCATTACTAATCTCTGGTGCTCTTAGTTTGCATAAACACTTTCAAGAGCATGCAGCTCCTTCTTCCCTCCTCTGCCCTCATCATTTCTCTCCACCACAGCAATGCCCCTACAAGAAGTATTTGCTCTCCAATCTGTACATCCTATGCATTTTCTTGAGGAACATTTGTCCTTTACGGTTTGCACCTTCCAGTGACTTGTTCTTGATTCAGAATGTACTTGCCACGTTTCAGACTGGAAAGTGTGTATTTTAGTCCAAACCAGTTCATGAAATTGAGACATTTGGCTCGTGTTGTTTAAAAAAATATGTAAAAGGGACATAAATAGTTAAAACTAAATTAGGGATAAAATTTTGAGTACACAGATCAGTTATCTTTAGAAATAGAATAACATTCCCCATTCTGTTGAATGTAACAGGTGTTTGCCACCTAAAAGAACAACATCTGGAACCTCTTGAGAAGCTGAACATTAGATAGAAGGCACAAAAAGCCAAAGATCTTCTGAAAATTCTAGGTAGTATGCATATGCATTTACTATGATCTTATAAAAATTATATATGAAAGAACTCTTGTTCAGATGGAGAGTGACCCATAGTCCGGCCAAAATGCACCCAGCTTAAATCATGAGCGGGAGACACTGCGGGGCAGAGGAAGTTTATAGCCTTGGCTATATGCTAAAGCATATAGCATTTTCCCAGGGCATTTTCTGGGGCCCCTGTGCTGAGTGCAGGTCATCAGGGTCACCGTCTGCCCGCTCCTGCACCAGACAGATTCACAGCGGGAATAACGGGGCCGAGAGAAATTTGTTACACTGCATTCCCCTGCCTGGTACAGCAGCACGGAGCTGATGAAAGGGGCTAATAGAGAGTGGAGCAGAAATAATTTTTTTTCCAGCTTTAGATCTGATCTCCTACAGGTAACCTCATTTATGTCACCAGCATAAGAACTATTACTGTGAAAAACACTGACCTGAGATCAGACAGTTCCCTGGTATCAAAAACCTCTTAGTTCACAAAACCCTGCGTTATACAGCAGTAACTCCCACTGACTTCAGTGATGTACCTAAGGGCAGGATTTCTCTCTGCTTAATTTAGAGATAATCTAAATACCTAGCAACATTGAGAACACTTGGTAAAATATAGTTTCAGCTGAACATTTAACATAAAAGATCAAAATTCATCAGCATTATTCTACATATAGACTGTTTAAGGTAATAAGATGCTATTTTCCGTATTTCTCTGTTTTTTTGTAGTGAAATATCTGTGATCCCCATTTGCAGCATGCCTATGTGTGTTATATGTATTTGACAGACTTCACAAATTATATGACTATTAATATATGTATTTTTAATGTTATATTTATAGATAGAGACTAACAGTCGTTTTACACTGAGCGCTTGGCAAGTAACAACTGCTGGAATATCAAAAGAAAAAGAAAAAAAAAGATCCTCCCCAGGTCATGCTGTCTATATAGAAAAACCTACAAAGTGGTATTTTTTTTGGATTGTAATATCCTCCTTTATCTCCCAGTTATTACTTCAGTTTTGAACATACAAGGTCAACGTATCTCAGTGCACATGCACTAGCACATGCTTCTGAGAGGAAGGAGATGTGCCACTCTTCTCATGAACCACTGCAAGAGGATGACTTTCTCCCAGTGTCTGGGTGGGGGTGTGTGTGTGCGCACATGTGTATATTTTTAGCTAATAAGCACTACCTGAGTAAATATCATGATTAACGTTCCTTCTGAGAAGGGCCTGGCCGTGAAAGTTCTGTACAATTTAAAGAATCTGCAAAATAAGAAAAAGGTTATCATATCTCTGGTTTTAGAGAAACTATCACCTGTATAGACTTCCACAGGGGAGAACAGAGAGTAAATGCATGTGATGAGTGTAGCTCCATGAGCTGTGTGAGCGCACATCTTGTTTGTTGCAAATTATTGTGTGACAGGTCTGTCAAGTTCAGGCCCACGACAAATGAACAGGACATAGCTGAATAAAAGTTTTACTTATTGAATTATATTATACTACAGGCTCTTTATTTTATGAGCTCTTGCAACTATTTGACTCCCAAGGACGTAGCCATCATTCTCACAGTTGGCTAGCCAGCAACTGAAGGGAGGTGCCATTCTGGCATATGCTGTAGCTTTGAGCTGGCAACAATTCTTAGCGTTCACAAGAATTATGAGTATTTTCAACACAAAAAGTAGATACTGTCCATAATTCAGCCTTCATTTCTGAAAGGAGGGATTTTGCATTTTGTTCTTCTCATGCAAAATTTGTCCCTGCTGAAAGACTCTTTGGGAAGTCAGAATTAGGGATGTGGAAGGGTAACGGGTCAGAACAGATGCACCATCATCTACACCATTGTTACCTACGTGATGAAGTGTCTGTCGTGACTAGCCAGGTTTAGGAAAAAAGTCAGAAAAGGAGGAGAATGTTTCCCCTTTCTAGCTATGGGCCAGGTAGGATTAACGGTGTAACAGTTCTTCTTTATACAAGAGTACTGCAAACAAACGTCCTTGCTCTTCAGACACAAAGTTCACTTACATTACACTACATGAGCATTAAAAATCTCAAGCACAGAATGGTACATCAGTTGCTAACAATGCACTTACGCAAAATAAATGAATGCAATCAGGAAAACAAAATATTAAACTTATTTTGTGCTTATCACATACAATCTTTGTAAATTAGCAATAGACCTTCAGGAATCCAAACACATAAAAAACCTGCATACATTTTAAATGAATTCCTTATGCATATGAGGTTTTCTGTAATTTTTTTTTGAGTTTCATATCTAGATAAAATATTGCTCTGTGTTCATGACAGGAAAGTTTTATATAAGGAAGTTGTATTGGATTATGCTCAAAATACATGGTCCACGAAATTGAAAATGCTTGAAAATGCAGAAAGACCTTCTGTGTTGGTATTCTGAGGGACAGTCAATAAGCCACAAATTCGTTATTTACGACTGATATAAACGAAAACACAATTTTAATTAATTATCCCTTTGTTTTCATATAAGCCAGGGAATTCCTATCTACTTTAACATTTACTGCTTGATGTATTTTTATGCCATAAAAAACCCTGATGATTTTCTATACTAGGAAATGTGTATTTCTGAATGCAAACTAATTGTCCTTTTGCATTGTGTGCTGTATATAAGCTAAAACTTGATGTAAATAATTCACCAATAGAGTATGTAGAAAATCTTTTTATCAAAGAAACGTTGACTGAAGATCTGAATGAAATCTTGACCTTACTGAAATCAAAAGGAACAGCTGCTGGAGTTCTGTGGAAACCAAGATTTCGCTCTTGACGGCTCCCATTTCACAGGCATTAATGACTAGCAACAGATTGGAGTGGAGATGCTTGGTGCTGTCCCGCACAACACCCACATCAGCCACAGACACCGTCAACAAGCAGGTGCTGCTGTCATTATCTTATGGCATCCACAAGAACTGCGGACATTGCACTGAGGGCAATATTTGAGGGAACAACACAAAAGTTAAACCTTGCTCTGACAAAATTTTCTATTGCAGAAGGTAGAGGAAGACATAGCACTGAAGGGGGCTCCAGCCCTCAGATCAGGAGGTGCCTGGCAAGATCCAGGCTGAGCTGGCGGCATTGAAATTGTGTCGGTCTTTAGCCCTTTCTTGTTTTAAGTGTTACCCGAAAGCGTTTTACCTGCCATTTCTTTGGGGTAGAACTGAGTGTTTGGGACACTCTGGCTTTGTGAGAGGCTTCTATTTTTGCAATAAAAGAAAAGTCTGATTCATTTTAAAACCTTTGGGATGTCTTCTTCTTTTAAGGCCCCAGTAAGGTTAAGATAGTGAGGTACAACTGAATACCAAACAGTTAGTGTTGCTCTTAAACAGTCAAATCAAGTTTTAACTCACCCCATCAAGATCTTTCCTAAAGTCTCTCAGACGCCCAACTATGACCTAGTAGCACAACAGCATTAAAAGTCGTAGAAGTATCTATGAAAAGTTAAGCAAGAACCTGTGGTTAAGACACTGGACTCCATGGACTCAACAGACCTAGGTTCAGGTCATGGCCCTGCCATAGACTTACTGTGTGCTCCTGAGAAAAATATTGCAAATGAAGCGCTAGCATCATTGATTCCACTGAAACTGCCATCAAAAGATTTAGGTTCCTGCACTCAGAATTTAGACTTTTCCCCTAAGCCCATTTTCATGAAGGACAGCTCCAACCAGTGAAATCATTTTATTCTAGATACATCCAAAACTGCCTATAAGTCCTGATCACACTCAGAAAATACGCTGTTTAAATGCTCTTGGATAGGTGATTATGCCATACTTGTGACAGTCGGCTCAGCATTTGCAGAATATGCCAAAGGTTCCAGAAAAGTCAGTGGGAAAAAGCCCTTCCTTCCTTCCTCCCTTCCCTCCTTCCTTTCTTCCCTCCTTCCTCCTTTCCTTCCCTCCTGCCTTCCTTCCCCTAAACCAAATATTCTAGAGAAGTTACATGTAGACTGACTAACCTGACTTCCTACTCTCTGACAGGAATTTTGTACCAAAAAATCTTCCCTCTTCCAATAGCTTTGTTAGCCTTGTGACTACAGATTTCCACCACTCCCCCCAGCTATTGAATATTTCAAAATATTTAAAATATTCTGAAGTATTAGAAGCAAAAAAGTTCAAAAATAGTTACTGAGAGAGCCCTGTTGATCTTAATGAACACTCTAGCATGCTGTTTTAGAGACTATGCACCTGCGCTCGCGCGCACACACACACACACACACACACACACACATATTAAAACATAGATATATAATACAAGATACGTAAATAGACGCTGCACCTATAGTCCCAGTCATCTGACTGGGACTCAAATGTCTTAACTTCAAGCCATGCCAGACAGGGAGGGGATCCAGCTCTTGTACTTTAATCAGCGCTCCAACAAATACTTTGCTGAAAGGCTGCTAATAGTCTGGGATGGGGCTGGTGCCAACAAAGGCCTGGCTAAGTTGCACATACATTTTTAGGTGCTTCATAGTTGAGAGATCTGAACCCTGCTCCCTGAATTAGTCACATCTGTGGTCTAAGTAAATAAAAACAGCGAACATATCAAGTGCATACTGTACGACCCACCTGAGCTACAGAAATCAGCTAGCATAGGAAGACCTTAGGAAAATAACCAGACCGATGTCCCAGAACGATCTGCCTTACTAAGAAACGTTCCACATTACATGAAGCAACACCAGTGATCGCTATACACAAATAACATTAAGCAATTATACATGCATGTGACACAGGAATGGTCAAAGTTATTCTAAGAATATTTTCATTTAGTCAAGAGACAAAACCTTTTAGTGGCAAGTGTTGAAAGTGATTGTATTTGCTATTCTGCTCAGTCAATTATTAAGCTGCTCACTGGAGGCTGGAGTGTTGCCACCGTGTCCTTTTCTTCAGTCAGGTTCCTTGAGCTGGCAAAAGTACCTCAGAGATAGGTAAACTCTTTTCTGACATCAAATACATCTCGCTCTTATTTAATGAAGTCTTCTGCATCTAAAAAGTGTCTGCAAAGAAAGAGGGAATAACTGTTCTTCGTGGCCTATGGAAAACGACAAGAATAACAGGGTCCCATTAACAGATTGCAATTAACTGAATTAGAAAGTCTTTCCCCTTCTGGAGAACCGATGGCCTCAGAGGCTTCAGAGCATCTAGTTTTGGAGGTTTTTTTAAGGACAGGTTAAATAAGTAAAGTCAGAACTGTTGGCGGTGGACCTAACCATCCTCTTTGGTAATATTATGGTAGCAAATAATTACTTGTTAACACTACCCCATTTTCAACAGAGAAACTCCCCTCTAAACCCCAAACACTTAGTCTGCTCTTGAAAGGCTACTTATTGTGTTCCCTGGTAGTAAAGCATTCAGAATATTGCCCATCAAAATGGAATTTGCCCCAACTATATGTTTCCATAATGTGCCTTGCAGTTCTGCTTGGACATATAGAATAATTCTGAGTATGGATACTGGTTACAAATAACAGCCAAAGATAATTGCTCCATTTCCAGATTGAAACCCACTCTTCTCCACCCAGGCTTCCAAACTGAAACCCACTCTACTCCACCCAGGCTTTTGTATACTTCTCCACTGTTTTCAGGTATCTTTCTGCCATTCTTCCATTCATGAGACATTAGTGACTCTCATAAGTGGTTCTTAAGCGTGAATGAATTTTGTAAAACCATAGACTACTAAAAAATTTTGCTCAAATGGATACCATGCCAATAGGTGAGAAATGGTTTATACTCAGACTGTTTGGCAGAGATACGCAGAATTTGCATTAAGTCTTTTACATGCTACAGTAACAAAGAAAGCTTAGTTCTAATTTCTTTAGAAAGTCTTTCCCCTTCTGGAGAACCGATGGCCTCAGAGGCTTCAGAGCATCTAGTTTTGGAGGTTTTTTTAAGGACAGGTTAAATAAGTAAAGTCAGACATTTTGGTACTATGAATTCTCTCATTTGAGGACTAGGTCTAGCTTAGAAAATAGTCCCACTGACCCTGGTGGGTCAAATATCAGCGCTCTTATGCCTCCATTTTCACAATGTCATGTGACACAGCATGAAAATGATTATCAGCATTATCTCAGTGTAAGTATTTCAAAAGCAAGACCCCCATCCTTAACAATACAGAAATAAGGGACTGAACAGAAGCAAGTCTAAGCTTAAAATAAGCCACCACAGACATAGCAGGATGGATTTCTATCAGATCCTTCTCCCTACTGTGACTACAGCTCTTGCCTTCTGCCCCCAAACAGCTATTTCAGTTCTTCTTGAAGCCTAAGCTGTTCCCTACCATGAAATCCTTGAAAATCATGAAAAATTCCTACTAGTTACGGCTGGAGAGCCCCCACCGTTTTACCTTTCTCACACATTAGCACATTCTACTTCTCATCCCAAGTGCTGTTTTGTGCTTCACTGGCAAAAAGCATAGCAGTAAAAGTCCTAGCGAATATTCATCAGCTTTCTTTGGTTTTGGACTTCAACTCCAACATTGGTGTATTAGCTGTTATTAATTCAGAATAGACAAGGACCAAGGGTAGTTTGCCTGCACATTTCTATTTTCTCAAAACCAAGCTGTGTTGGATATAATACTTTGGAAAATATATCTGAAATCAACAGAGGTTTGCAACTTTTATTGCATTTCAAAAAACATAGCTTATTGGATTCCTTGGGAAATGAGTTTGAGTAAATAGTAAAGCCAAGTTTCAGTGTGGTCAAATTAGAAGCAGCTGAAATATTAAGCCCTGATTTCCAAAATGGAAACTACAATAAACTGAATACAATGTTACAACTGGTACTAAGAAGTAACTGGGATTAAAGAGGAGCCATAATGGAGTACAGTGGTATAATACACATGTTCAGGTTCTATTTTTTGCAAGGAACTCAAAACACAAAAATCATACCAGAATCCAGCTTTGGATATATTTTCTTAAAGCATAATTTTTCATTGCTTCATGTACATCTCCATCTTTTAAAAAACTGGCGTTATCTTCTTAATTCAGTGCCACAACTGACTCTGTCAAAAGGTGGTTTGAAAGTGGCAGGATTTCCCAAGACCTCTTGAATGAATAGTGTCACCTCACTTCTCTGGCTCTTTGCCAATAGGATGTTCTTATTGGCATCATTTTTTTCTGATGCTGAAAGAAGTTATGGATTGTGGATGAATTGTCTTTTTCTGTTGACTCAGTTCTGGCTTCAGGTTGTCACAGCCCTCAGAGAAGTTTTTGGGGTTTTTTTTTTTGCCTTCCTTGGTGATTGTTCTGGTGTTATTTGATTCTGGGGCAAAAGGAGAAAGGCAAAACAGTTCCCTCATAGCCCAAACAATGCAGATTAAGAGTGATTACAATATGCCAAAAACAAACAGCTGGAGCCACATGTCAAATTCTCGTATGCTATGAGGAGTTTCTGCTGCCACCAGCTGGAGCTGTAGTTCGGAGAGTGACGCAAACACGCGTTCTTCTCTCCGAAGATGGCTTTCAAGCCTTTAATTACATCACCGCAAAACTAGAAAGAAACTTTCTACTACAGGCTCCTTTTTTAGCTATAAAATGTGTGCCATGGGGAAGTGCATGGTATGAGCAGTGGTGTGCCAATTTCTTTGTGTAACTTCCTTTCATGGGCTTGGCAGGGACTCTTAAAAGGAGCATCACTGCCACTTTACTACACGATATCGACACTTTCTTATCCATCCCAGACATAAACAATCTGCCTAAGCCTGAGAAAATCCCACTGAGCTAGTTGGTAAAAGAGAGATATTGAAGGTCACAGTTTGATTTTCTGACAATCTGACTGTAATTGCACATACAGGAATTAACACTTATTTGAATTTACTTACCTTTAAAAATATACAGGCTCCAAATGAAGCCTGTTTCTTGAAGGCAGCAGAGCCTTCAAATCCCACTTGCATCAGTGCTGTCTAGAGACAATTTAGCTGCATGAAAATGGTGCTGATAAAGTCTATGTTAATCCATTTTTATTTTGTTTAAGTCAGAAATATCTGTAAATAATCCAGAAAGCACTTTGATACATCCGGACTTCTTCAACAGTGTTATCCCTGCTGCCTCTCAACTTAACTGCAAGATTTCTGTTTTTTCTACTGATGATGTTAGAACAGGAAATTATGAAATTTATTTTACCCCTCCCAAAAATGACGATGACAACAGTCTTTATTGCTCTTCCTTATCCTTCAGATTCCATCTAGGAATTAA